GTCTGTGGAGCTGTGGGGCCTGATGAGCTCATCTAGACAAGGAGTGAAGATAGAGAAGAGGTCCAAAGATGGAGGCCTGGGGTACTCTGATTTTAGAGTTAGAGAAGATGAGGAGGAATTGGCAGAGTCACAGAGAAGGAGAGGCCAGGGAAGGGGAAGAGCAAGCCAGAAAAGTGGAAAGAAAGAAAGTTTTTGGGGAAGAGAGAGAAACTGACTGTTTCAAATGTTGCTGATTGTTTGAGTAAGATGAAAACAGAAAAAATTACCATAGGATTTTGCAACTAGCAGCTCATGGGTATCACTGAAATGATGGGTGAGGGACCTGTGACCTTCCCCCCAATTTCTGATCTCTGTAAGCCCCATGTTTCTTGTGTGATGCAGGGGGCAAGAATAAACCTGGAATATTTCTCTGATTTGGCAACTCTTGATCCTTTTGAGTGCAGGGCCTGTTATAGGTTTAATTTACTTTAGGACGCTAAAGAAATGTGGCATTTTCTGTACTCCAGGGTGTCACAGAACGGCCTACATCAGTTGCAATGAGATTTACTTCAATGCACCTTTTGTTTATGGAGACTGAATTGTGGGTCATGCCTATTGGGGGTGGAAATGGAAGACAGAAGTAAAGGCAAAGGAAGGGTAGAGGTTTTGCAATGAAGTTGTGGGAGTAGTAATGAAAAATGGAAGCAGAGCCCATTTGGTCTTTAGAGTCATACTAATGCCATATTGGGGAGGAGGATGGAGGCACTTGTAAAAGAAAGTCCGTGACATGTACTTGGTACAAAGCTATCATAACAGAGCTAAAAGTCTTTAACTTTGAGTACCAGAGAGAAAATTAAGAAATACCTACTCAGCTATGTCACCCAGTTAGGTAAAAGTTAAACCATCCTTTTTCCATCACCAATATCCCAATTATACCACAAGTTTGGGACCACAATTAAAAGCAGGAGAACAGACCCCAGAGGCAAAAACCAGTCAACAAGTCTGAGTCACAAAATTAGAAAAGCATTGAACATTTGGAAAGAGAATCCATTGGAGGAGGGGAGTTTTATATTATGTGCATTACCTACAACAAAGCAAAATGAATTAAATTACAGAGTAGGGAGGTCCGGAAAAGTCTCTTGAGAGTAAGGGATGGTACATAGAAATTTGTTCATTCATTCAATTTGGTTTTGGAAAACCACCCACATGCCGGGCCCTGGGGATAGATAACAGGACCCGGTGGGTGTGATCCCTGCCCTCACACCATTTACAATCAGTACAGCTGAAGTAATAGGCAATCATGTCCTAGTGTGATAAATAACGTGAGAGGAGAAATACAGGCAACTTGTGTCATAGACAAGGGACATCTCACCAAATGTAGGAGCTTTTGAGGAAGCTTCTGAGATAAAACAATGTCTAAGCTGAGTCCTATAGATGAGCCGAATAAAGTCCTTTCTGGGCACCTATGGTATGGGAGGAGAGATAGTACAGTGGGCACTGGGTTCTGTTGTCTGGTTCAAATCTGGGCTCTGCCACTAGCTGTGGAACTTGGGGTAGCTAGTCATCTTTGCCTCAACTTTCTCATGGTACAATACTGCTATCTATTTCAAGGAATCATTACAGTGATTAAATAAAGCCTGTAAAGCATTAAGTTCGGCACCTAAACATAGCTAAGGAGTTGAATAAAAAGTCAACAGTATCTTCTCAATTTAAAATTTTGTTTCAGGGGTGCCTGGGTGGCTCAGTTGGTTGAGCAACTGCCTTCGGCTCAGGTCATGACCCTGGAGTCCCGGGATTGAGCCCCACATTGGGCTCCCTGCTCAGCAGGGAGTCTGCTTCTCCTTCTGACCCTCCTTCTCATGCTCTCTCTCTCTCATTCTTTCTCTCTCAAATAAATAAATAAAATCTTTAAAAAAATTTTTTTTAAATAAAAAAAATTTTGTTTCATAGCTTTGGATGTAAAAATATATCTCTACGGGCTTTACTAACTTCATTCAAAACTCTATCTTCCTCACAACGTTTTACATTCCTCAATAGCAAATGCACCTGCTGCCGGGTCTGCAGCTCTGCTCTTGAGGTGCAACAATGACAAGGAGAAGCATCAGGATTGGATGTGGAAAGGTTACTCGAGGGTGGAGGGCACCATCTTCAGTCCCTGAAGGCGGAATACATCACAGGACCCTGGGCCAACCAGAAACACTTACAAAAGGGAAGAGCTCGCAGGGTCACTGTGACTGAAGAGTACTGGCCAGGATTCTTTTTATTAAGAATTCTTTTTTATTGAGATATAATTCAGATACCATAAAATTTGTCCTTTAAAAGTCTACAATTCAGTGGTTTTTAGTATTTTACAAGGTTGTGCAATCATCACCACTCTCTGACTCCAGAGCATCTTTTATCTTCTATCACCTCTAACAATAAACCACTTGCCAGGTTTTTGACTGGTGCACGTCTGTGCCAGTGTTGTTAATGTAGAAATCGAGTATACTGTGATCAAGAAATTCATAAACAGCACCGGACTGAAATTGTCAAGCTCATTTCCAGGGATTTCCTGCCCCTTGTCCCCCAGCCCCTGCATGCTCGCTCTAGATCTTCAAACTCTACTGACCCAGAAGAACTGTCTCACAGCAACACTGTGTTCCATTCTAACGTGTATGTTATTTTATATATATAAAAATAAATAAATATATATATATATATAAGTGGATTAGTGGGTAGCTGTTATCTAGAATTAACTAGATTCTAGTTCCTCTTGTCAACTTTTCCTCCACCCTATCTAACCCCCATGTATAGAAAAGGGAGAATCGTACCAGCAGCACCTGTCGGGCCCTTTTTGCTGTCCTCCTGAACATCTTTCCTGGGGTGTTTCACAGGACCCTGGGTTGAACTTGTCCAGAATGGAACTGATTAACTTCTCCCCAAACCAGCCACTCTCCCAGGGTCCTTTATCTCAGTGAATAGGTGAATATAACCACCAGCCATTTGGTTATTCAAACCAGAAACCCAGGCATCATTTGTGACTCCTGTCTCTCCCCATCTCTCCAAAATCACCGAGTCCTCTTAATTCTGCTCCCACGGTCACTCTTGAACCTGTCCACCAACTTCATCTCCGCGGTGGCCAACTACCCCGGTTCAGAGAACCCTCATCTCTGGCCTGATTTACATAATCAACTCCTACCCGGTCGCCCTATTCCCAGTTCTGTCCCTCCTTCCTTTCTGTCTTCCACATTTTGTGAGATGCAAATCTGAGTGTGCCGCCTTCCTGCTTTAAATCCACTGTAGCTCCAAGTTGCTGTCAGGATAAAGTCCATATTCCTTCATTTGGTTTAGAAGGCCTGACCTGATCAGGTCCCCACACCCACTCCAGCCTTCTCTCTCTCTCTCTCTGTTCTCCCCACACCATGCCTCATCCCCTCTGCTGACAATTGTGCTATTCCTCACACTGATATCTCGCTTTCCAGTCTTTCACGTACTGTGCCCTTTGCCCTGGAACATTCTTCCTGCCCTCCCTCCACTTCTCTCCAGCCACCTTCATCAAGATGACCCCTATGCAAACTTTAGTTCTGGGCTTAGTTGTTGCTTTTCCTGGGAAGCCTTCCTTGAACTCCTTCTATGTGTTCCCAGAGTTCGAGCCCTTCTTCCATAGCATGGAGGGTCATACTGTTTACTCTTCCGTGGAGCCCCATGATAATGCTCATCAGCATATCCCCAGCGCTTCAGCAGTGCCTGGAACACGATGGACACTCCCCAGTATTTGATGAGTGAACAAAAGAAGGCAGCCCCCCGTCTCGAACAAGCTAGGAGAGAAGGGAGTTTCTCGGTGCCAACCTTCCTAATCTTCCCTTTAAGACATCCCTGCATTGTGGCTGCCTGATATCCCAACCTTCTCTTTGGGCTCTTGAAGATCTCAAGATCTCTAAAAAATCAAAAGAATGACTGTCTAATGGTATAATGTCCGAATTTATGACCGCTAACAGAGGAGCAAATTTCAAGGGCGGGAATTCTTTATCGCTCCTCTCAAATCATCCCGCATAGTTGAATTCTCACTCCAGGGTTGAACTCTGGCCACATTTCTCCCTGTTAAGAATTTTATAGGAATGGGAAGTTAGTGTTTAATGGGTGCAGAGTTTCAGCTGGGGAAGATGAAACAGTTCTGGAGATGGATGGTGATGATGGTTGCACAACAGCGTGAATGTACTGAATGCCTCAGAACTGTACACTTAAAAGTGGTTACTACAGCAAACTTTATGCTTTGTATATCTTGTTATAATTAAAAATAATTCATAGGCTGTGGTTATGGTAGTTTATGATCACACAAGTCTCAGTTTGAATCCTAGTTTGGTCCTACAAGCTGTGGGATCTTAGCAAGTAGCTGAATTTCTGCATCTGTAAAATGGGTATGATTATTCATTTAACAAATATTTATTAAGCCTCTATCTTGAGAGAGGCAGACTAGTATCATGGTTGAAACTAGAGCCTGGAATTGAATCTAGCTATAGGAGAATGGGCAAGCCAGTTTTTTTTTTTTTTTTCCATGCCTCAGCTGTATCATCTGGAAAGTGGAGATAGTAATTTGTTTGGTTTTGTTTTATTTTGAAGTCATAGGGTTGTTGTGAGAAATAATTGAGTTAATGTATGAAAATTGAACAGGGTCTGGCAAAAGCTAAGTGCTGATTATTACTATTACTATTTGCTTGAGCTAGTGTGTTAAAGTACTTAGAACAGTAGCTGGTATGAGCATTATTTATATTCACTATATGTTATTATATCCCAGTTCTAGAAACTGGAGATAGAGCAGTGAACCATTTAGTGAGGGAAATGGACAATAAAAAGAGAATGTAAAGTATGGCAGATAGCATCGAATACCTGTCTCACTTTATTGTAGTGAAATTGCATGACATAATAGATGTAAAGTGGCTCATGGAGTCAGAACCCAGCTCACACTGGCACTTAATAAATGTTAACTCTCCTCTCCTCCTCCAGCTCTTTCTGTCTTTCCCCTCTCATTTTTGGAGAGAACCCAGTGGGAGGACAGACAGTCTCTGGACCCAGGCGAGCCCAAGCCCATCAGCTGAGCACATGGAAGGAGAACCTCAGGCCAGGGCCTTGCAAGGTTGGTGGCGATTTCCGTGGCAGATAGTTTTTCTTGCCACTTGAGAGGAAATATGAATCATCTGTTGTTTGGCTTCCATTTCCTGGGAGGCTGCAGACCCAGGAAATCTGTGGTTTGAACATCTGTGCAGAGATAAAATGAAATGGCTATTGGTGGTGAAGTGTGTGGCTAGGACCACTGACAATCAACTCTTGAGCCAGATGACTCATCTTGAGATGGCTCCTCAGTCCTCAAGGGCGCCTGGGTGGCTCAGTTGGTTAAGCCCTCTGATTGCATTCAGCTCATGAAATGAGTTGCATTTCCAGGCATAGGGTGATTCTTCCTTAGCTGTGCTGGGTGAAAGAGCACATCTGGACCAGGCTGGGGCAGGGATAACAGGGGTCCAGCCTGTGTTCTTAGCTCCATTTTACATAGGATGGAAAGGAGGCCCGGGGACACCAACCACTGTGTGGATGGGACAGTCAACGAGTGGTAGAGTTGGAAAAGCCTCTCCAAATTGCTCCACCCCACATCAGGTTATTTCCCCAACCACTGAGTAGATTCCAGCACAACAGCACCATTGGTTTTACTACAACCTGGCCCGTACCCACCTAGTTAAAGCCCACTTATTTGACACAGTTGTACTCTAGTGTAACAAAACAGTTGGGTCCGTCTCATGGAGTTTTTGAAAGTAGAGTTAACCAATTGTTAGAAAATGAGAGGGAGAGATTGTCACGAACGATATATGCTAAAATAAGAACATTCACCAAGGGTTTCTGTATCATTCTTCCCTCTGTGTCCTCCTTTTCCTTTAGACATTTCCTTTGAACCAAGGAAATCCTCAAGAACATCTGTTTAAAATGAAGACAGAATGGCCCTCCATGATGGAGGGATTGGACTTAATTATACACACCACATTGGGATGATCGGGTCCTCTCAAGGATGGTAAACCCCAGCACAGGAGAAAGAGCATGGGGGAGTTCTGACACAAATACCGCAAAAGTTGACATCTCTTTAATCTCAATGGTGGGTACCTGGATGTCTCTTACTTGATTTTGCACTTTTATGTATGTTGGCAATGTTTCATACTATAACAGCATGGAATTTGAAGTCAGGAAATCTGAGCTCAAATTCCACCTCCTTGGATAAGTCATCCAATTTCTCAGTGTGTTTATCTGTAAACTGTGGATAACAATAAGTAATTAACAGGTTAGTTACGACGATCAAGCAAGATAAAGCAGTTAAAGCATTCTGTAAATTTCAAGTCCTTACATAAATGTTATTAACAGTAATGACAGTAGCAACAATAGTAATGGGATGACTTACTACGGAGTGAATGACCCTCACTGAAAGAATTTAAGCAGAGGATGGTGTTCATGACCATGAATGAGGTGACCATGAATGATGGTGACCATGACAAGAATGGGGACTCCTGTTGTCCTATTGGTAAAGAGATTAGACTGGTGACATCTTTTATATCTTTGAAATTCCATGATAGTCTTGATCCAAAGCTGAAAACTCAAAGACCCAGGCCAGGCAGGAAACAGTTGAGTGAAGTGGGTGAAGCTTGTAGTTGGGGATAGCTGAGTGGTGGAGACTTTGGAAGAAGTTTCATTCAAAGGCGGTAGCCATGACTTAGATCCAGCCAATAATTACTAGAATTCCACAGTTATGTGGGCCCCCTGTTGCTACATATTCATGTCTATATCTATCCACACACCCATGTATATGCAGGTATATGTCTATATGTGCGTATTTTTTTAAACAATTTAATGTTTTTTTGTATATTCACAGAGTGGTGCAGCCATTGCCACAATCAGTTCTAGAACATTTTCGTCACTCCAAAAAGAGACCCATTACCCATTAGCAGCCACTCCTATTCCTGCTCTCTCCTAGCCCCATGCAACCACTAATCTTCTTTCCCTGGCTACAGGTTGGCCTATCCTGGACATTTCATATGAATGGAATCATTTAATATTGGGCCTTTTGTGACTTGTTCTTTCACTTATTTTTCAAGGTTCATCCATGTTACAGCATGTATCAGCACTTCATTCCTTTTTATGGCTGAATAATATTCCATTCTAGGGATTGTATGGATTATATGGATCTACCACATTTCACTTACCATTCATCAGTTGATGGATATTTGGACTGTCTCTGCCTTTGGGGTATTATGAATAATGCCACTATGATCATTCATGTACAAATTTTCACATAGACAGATGTTTTCATTTCTCTTGGGTATATACCTAGAGGCTACCAGATATTTCAATTTTTCAACAGAAGCAGAACCAACACAACCCTTTTTCTCCCTCCCTCCCACTTTCTCTTTCTGTATGTGTGTGTGTATGAGCACACAATTTAAAAATATTGACTCAACTTAAAAAAAGAATCAGGTGGGCCAAACACAAAATGTATTCAGGGACTAGTTTTTAAGTTTGGCATTGACCTTGCTTGTTTTGTCTGCAAAAAGGAAGATGTGAACCAGCTGACCCTGCCCCCCCATAGATCCTTTCAGCTTTTAAACTTCACTTTCCTAGGATTTTATTAAACTCTCACATACATATGCATTCTTTTATAAATAAAAAACACTTTTGATTTCTTGAGGGATTTGGAAGTGACTTACAATACCAACCTAATATGCCAGTTAAAAATCAGTTCAGAAGGAGAACTCATAATTGCCCTGGGAACCTGAACTGAGAGGGTTGATAGGAGACCAAAATTTTGTTCCTAGCTTCCTGGTAGGTGTATGCATAAATGCAGTTAAGGAGGGTGTGCAAAGCTAGGGCAATGGATATGTTTTGGGACCACTGGTAATAGTTTAGAAAGACGTTTTTTGTGCTTTTTTTGTGTGCTCAGTTTTGAAAGACACAATCCCTACTCTGAGGAGCTCATGTCTCTAGGGAGACACACAGGTCCACACAATTAGACTCCAGTGAACTAAATGAAAAGTAACTTTGGTAGTTCAGAGAAGTACTTTCAAGTGTGGTGGGGGTGGCTGGGGGTCCACAGGATCAGAAAACAATGGACTGGGGCTGGTTAACTGATGAACTCCCAAAAGTCATGTGATCCAGCTGCTCGATCACTAAAAGCTCTATGGCATTAGACAAGGTATTTCATCTTAGTGAAATTAGTTTCCTCATCTGTCAGTGGAGAAAAGATAATACCTGCAGGTGATTTTTCTTTTCCTTTTTCATTTTTTTAAAAAGGTTTATTTATTTTATAGAGAGAGAGAGTGTGAGCATGGGGAAGAAGGAGTGGGGAGGGGCAGAGGGAGAGGGAGAGAGAGAATCTCAAGCAGTCTCCATGCTGAGCATGGAGCTGGCCACGGGGCTTGACCTCATGACCCTGATCACCACCTGAGCTGAAACCAAGAATGGTACGCTCAACCAAGTGCACCACACAGGAACCCTGATTTTTCTTTTTTATGAAAGAAACAAAGTGCTTAACATAATGCCTGGCATGCTGTGGTACCCAATAGGTATAGATTATTGTTATTATATCAGTGTCCCTTAGTGTTTTCTCATCTGGGCTGTGTGTGTGTGTGTGTGTGTGTGTAGGGGGATGGGTGGCTATGACCTGAGGCTGAATCCTCTGGGAATGTCTCTTACCTGGGGCTACAGATGGTACTAGGTTCAAGGGACTGAGCATTACAGTGTCGGTGGTCCAGTGGAAAAGACCAAAGCCAAAAAGCCAGAAAACAGAGGTTGGTAGTTCAGTATCCAGCCAGGAAATCAGAGAAATCAGAGATAGATGACATAGGAAACCACAGCTCAAAGGTAAATGGGTGGATGTTCTGGACTCACACCTGTATGTCTATTACTATGTCTTTGCCGGTGATGCTGGGAAACAATCAGATCTCTCCTTGAGTCAGGGAAGGAGGGGACAGCATTAGCCTGATGGAAAAGGGAGCAGATGTTGCTCTAGGTAAAGAAAGCAGGATGTGCAGGTACAGAGGCTTGAAAGAACCTGCCACGTTTCAGAGCGATGAGCAGCGTGGTAGGGCTGGAGTCTGGCAGAGCTTGGGAAAGAGACGCCAGGTGAGTTTGGGAGACCATGAGGGGAGGCCGATCACGAGGGGCGCTTGGCTCTCACGCTTAGCAATCTGTTCTTCATTCTCAGTGTAGTGGGAGTCAGGGAAGGAGTTGGAGGAGAGGAATGACACTGTCAGATTTCTGGAGTGAAAACTCCCTCTGGCTGCTGTGTGGAGCTTGAGATGCAGGAAGACCGTCTGACAGCGGAATTAGCAATTATGTAAGAGCAGAGAAGGTGCTTCCTTTGAGCACGGGGTAGTAGTTACATGAATTATTACTGCAGCAATTATAATAATGCCAATGGTCTGGGAGCAAGTTCACTGGTAGAGTCAGGGCTCAAACCCAGCAGGAAATGTTCGGAAAGGGAAAGTTTTGAAAAGCAAGCAAAAATTTCTTCAAGCAAAAATTGATACTGAAGCAAAGAAGGGGAAAGTTTCATAAAAAGAACCACCAAAGTCAATTTTGTAAAAGTAAAAATGAGAATCTCCATGGATAATCTTCACTTATTCCAAAACGGAGACAAGAGGCAAGAACCGAAACAAGAACCTATTTGTTGTTTCTTAGCTGCTCAAACGTATTTCCCGGCTTTATTTGGCAGCAAGCATGGTGCTGCCATCAGCTTGTATACGATGGTTGGTCGATGCTCATGCCCTCCTCTGATTGATGCCCTTGCTTTGTGCTTTGGCGGTTGAATTAGTTTCCTATTGCTTCTGTAATAATACCACAAACATAGCGGCTTAGAACAACACAGATTTATTATGTTATGGTTGGAGAGGTCAGAAGTCTGCCCTGGTCCTTATGTGGCTAAAATCAACAGGTTGGGAGGGTTGTGCTCTTTTCGGCATGCTCTAGGGGAGAGCCTGTTTTCTTGCCTTTTCCCGCTTCTCGGGGCGGCTGCTGTTCTCTGCCTCATGCCCCTTCCTTCATCTTCACAATCAGCAGTCACTCACTCTGACCTCTGATTCCACGGTCAGGTCTCCCCTGACTCTCACTCTCCGGCCTCCCGTTCCCTGATACACCTTTTGAGGACACTGGGGTAATCCAGGACATTTTCTCCATCTCAAGATCCCTAACTCAATCACATCGGCAAAGGCCCTCCTGCCACGCACTCACAGGTCCCAGAGATTAGAATATGGATGTCCTTTGGGGAGGGCATTATTCTGCCTACCACCGGGGTTGCTATTACGGACCAGTAGTGGTTAATTATGGAATGGAAGTAATAATAAATGAACTCATGTGCCAGGAAGGCCAAGTGTGTGATGATTAAACTGAGCTAAGGCGCCCTTGGATGACATATTGCCTTCCCCAGCTGCCAGTCCTGTGGCCTCTGAGTATCCATTTCCTCCTCTGGTAATGGGGACGCTTATCAGACCAACCTCACAAAGTTGCTGTATAAGGACCAGTTAAGTGCTAGTATATGTCAATAACTTTGAACGGTGACTGGCACCTAGTAAGTGCCCATTAAATATTGGCCATTATTATCTGATGGGTGGGTATCCTATAATCTTTTTGTTCTTGTGGTTGAATCTGACTACTAACGGCAACATCTGTGCATATGTGTGTGCATGTGTGTGTTGGGAGAATTTGTGTATTTAAGAAAAGTCTGATTCCTCCTCCCTAGGACTTATCATTAACTGGAAAGGAAAGTGCCTGACACCAATTGAGCTGTCCAGGCTAATTAATGATGCTAACTCTTAAAAGATATAACTGGAATATTTTCTCGGACCACCAAGATTTCCATGATACATTGCATAAAACCTGAAGATAGAAATTTTAGGTTACATTTTTCAGATATTGTATATGCTATTCCATGAGGTTGTTAGAGCTGATTTTGATAAAAATCGTATCTTACCTACTTCTTATGAATAAATACTTAGGTATTTGATACATGTTGGTTCGGTTAGTTTTAGTAGTATATGGATACATATTACTTTCTTATTAAATAACTTCATTAAACAAAAGTTTAGGCATGAGAACTAAGGAAATTAACAAAATTACTTCTGATTTTTGGACATAATTCTTATTTAATTATTCCCAAAGCCACATATCAGAGTTAGAAGCACAGATTCACACAACTTACAGAAAGAGTATCATGCTTTCTATCACATTTCTGGCTCCACAAATAACATAATTTGGTGAAAATAGTGTGCTATTTTATCGCAAATCAAGTAATGAGAAACAGCATTGTTATCCTGTTTTACACTCATTATAAAATTAATTATGTCTGATCTATATCAATGTAAACGTGGCTGCTTTTTAGTAATCTATTTTCTATGATGCATTCCATAATTTATTTCTCAGTGGTTTTTTAAATAATACTCTCCAAAATGATTATTAAGACACTCATTTAAGAAATAAAGTCACACTTTTAATGACAAGAAATGTACCTAACTTGGCTGATTTGTCTGATAATTGGGTTATATGATAGAATATTTTTCATCAGTTGAATGAGCCAAATCTGAATAAGATTTTGACAAAATTTTATTTAAAGCACCCCACAAGATAAAAACATTAACGTAGTTCTACTCCAAAAGATGTAAATAAGTATTTTGATTTTCTCAACTCTTACTGAAACTAATTTAACAAAGTGCCTCTAAATGAAAAGATAGCAAGTAAAATAATAGTAATTTACAAGTCTTGGCCTTTTTGGTTATACTTCACAGAATGAGACATTAATGACTGAATAACAAATCCTTTCCCAAATTAGATGGTTTTCAATTATTTACTTTCAGTAAAATTGGAGAAAGACCTAATCAAAGTTATAGATGCTTACGAGTTATATTGTGTTTGGGGCATACACTTAGGAAGGAGTTCAAAGAACTGAATGTCGGGAATAGCAATGATTCTAATCTTTTAATTAGATTAATTTTAATCTCTCTAATAGTAAGTGATAGTCATTCTTGAATATATTAACTAATTGGGGGGAAATATCTCCACCCATCTCATTGAAATGCACTAAAATTACTTGTGAGATTATAATTACATATCAAAAGTTAAAATATATTGATGATGTTTTGATCAGTTGTATGTTGCTAGTAACTTATGATACTTAAATCTCAAAGAACCTCTCTCTCTTTCTTTCTCCCTTCCTTCATCCCTCCTTCCCTCCTCCTTCTTTCCTTCCTTCCTTCCTTTCTTTTTTTTTTCTTTTTCTTTCTTTCTTTCTTTCTTTCTTTCTTTCTTTCTTTCTTTCTTTCTTTCTCTTTCTTTCTTTCTTTCTTTCTTTCTTTCTTTCTCTTTCTTTCTTTCTTTCTTTCTTCTTTCTTTCTTTCTTTCTTTCTTTCTTTCTTTCTTTCTTTCTTTCTCTTTCTTTCCTTCCTTCCTTCCTTCTTTCTTTCTTTTCTTTCTTTCCTTTTTTTTATATTTAGAGCCTAGTGGCCAGAGGAAAAAATATTCACATGTGTGTTGCAGAGAAGCACAACAGGATGATGAACAGAAGACTAACTTACAAAAATTTTATTAGGATAAAATTCCGAGGAGGAAGACAAATAGAATAGTTTAAGGAGATAAAAGAGAAATGTACGATTTCTCAGTATGAAAGAAAAGCTTGTTTGTGTATATATTTTTTTAATTTTTATTTTCCATTTGTGTATTTTTTAAATGGGTAATGATGGGTGGCAAATTGCTAGGATATTTGCCGAGATAATAACTCCATAGGATTTGTTTAAAATAGTGATACAACTGTCTTCTTTTCAAATGTCAATTTTTATAGTGTATAATGTATCTTCTGCAATCATTTAATCTTAAAATTTTGATAAATTAAAGTTTAGGCAAATTAAGCATGCGTGCAGAGGTATAGTTTTCAAATTCATTTTTTTAAAAGATTTTATTTATTTATTTGACAGAGAGAGTGAGAGAGCACAAGCAGGGGGAGCGGCAGGCAGAGGGAGAGGGAGAAGCAGACTTCCCGGGAGCTACAAGGGAGCCCGATGCGGTGCTCGATCCCAGGACCCCGGGATCATGACCTGAGCCAAAAGCAGACACTTAACCAACTGAGCCACCCAAGCATCCCTCAAAATTCTTTTCTAGGGAGGAAAATTTTGAAGTCGGCTAACTGTTTCTGAGAACGATTGTTCGCTGGTCTGGGAAAGCAAACGGCCGGCTCTGGACCTGTGCATTTCCCTCCTCACTTCTTGGTTCATTGTTGAAGGGCTGCTCTGACCTCTGGGTGTCCTACTCAGGCTCACTCTGCAGGAAAGAGAGCATCAGATCCCAGGGCACAGGCAGCCAACTTTGCCCTTCAGGTCACTCTGCTTGATTTAATTAAACATGACTATTTTCTCCAAGTGTATTTTTCAAATCCGCAGAGAGCCCTCACTATGTACCAGGTACTGGTCTAACTGCTTTATAAATATTAACTCATTTAAGCCTCATGAAAACCCTGTGAGGTAGGTACTGCTATTTCCCCCATTTTACAGATGAGGAAACCAAGGCACGGAGAGATAAAGTTGCAAAAAAATGTTACGTAGCCAATAAATGATGGAACCAGGATTTCTTAGACATTGATCTCCTTTAAAAACAAACAAACCCAAAAGAGCAGAAAGAAATGATTCTATGCTTTGTCCCCAAGTGGGCCACCACCAGAGGTTCCTTTCCCCCCAGAAGGCCTCGGAGTTCCTGCTCCCATGTCTATACCTAACACTGACCTGGATTACAAGGAGACTGGATTTACCTGTGAAGATCCTAAGAATCCAGTTTTGAGATGCAACAGAATTGAATTTCAGTGGCCTGTTTATTGAAGCTGACTTCCACAGCCGTGAATCATCATAAAGATGTCTTATTCAGACAGGAAAGCGGGGTAATTAGTATTACAGGTCACTAGTAAAAGGCCTCAGAAAGCAGCAAACCACCCCAAGAAATTATTTTTCCTGGCCTCCTCCATCCGACCTCATAACTCCAGTTTCAGGGGTTTGGAGTGGGCAAAATGCGCTTACGGTTTCCTTTGCAGCAATGAGGAAAACAGATTACCCTGACAGCCGAGTGGAGGGGAGGGACTGTTTCCCTGCCATCTCCCTGCCGTGTGCCAAATGACTTCCATTGCTCCTGCCATTTGACACAGGCAGAGGGTGTCAATAAAGGTTGCAAGAACTTTTGAGAGTGAAAAATACCTAGGGAAGTTTGCCACTTTGCAAAAGGAAAACTGCTTTAAAAATACAACTCTTCTGGAAAAAAAAAAAAAAATTCCCCCTCTCTCCCAAACACCATAAAGATCTTAAAAAAAAAAAAAAAAAAAAAGTCCTGCATTTATATGTAGATTGCCATCTCTTACTGTGCTTTCTGGCAAGGGAAAACTGCTTTGGGGGGGGGGGCGGTGCCTGGGTGGCTCAATCGTTAAGCGTCTGCCTTCGGCTCAGGTCATGATCCCAGGGTCCTGGGATGGAGCCCAACATCGGGCTCCCTGCTCCGCGGGAAGCCTGCTTCTCCCTCTCCCACTCCCCCTGCTTGTGTTCCCTCTCTCGCTGTGTCTCTCTCTGTCAAATAAATAAATAAAATCTTAAAAAAAAAAAAGAAAATTACTTTGGGGCAACTCTGGGATATTTCAATGTTCTTAATATTATATGGGGCACTTCCGGGCTGTGGGCCAAACCCCCATTGCCACCTGTTTTGAGAATAGAAGCATCCTGGGTCGAGTCCTGGGAAGAAGGCTGTAGGGACCGGCAAGTTCCTACCCCACCACTAGCCAACCTTAAGTTTGTCAGAAAAATTTCTGAAAACCTCATTCTTCCCCCAGCCTCCAAAGATGAAATTGCCTTCTAGTTGCCTGAGTTGCTAGAAGCGTCAGGAGATAGAATTGAAGTGAAAAAAAGCTTTGGTTTACAAGGGGTTATGCCAACGCCGCCTTGTGTTAGTGGTGTTAGGGAGACATATCTGCGTGTGATGAGGTAGACGGTTATTTTCTTGAAAGATTTATTTATTTTAGGGGGGGAAGGGCAGAGGCAGAGGAAGAGAGAGACTCTCAAGCAGACTCCCCGCTGACCACAGAACCCCATGCAGGGCTCGATCTCACGACCCTGAGATCATGACCTGAGCTGAAACCAAGAGTTGGACACTTAACGGACTGAGCCACTCAGGTGCCCCGAGGTAGACAATTATTAATATGACCCTGTGCCCTGATTCCTGTAGAAAGGAATTAAATAATAAAAAGTTGGGAGGTTGGAAGAGGCGAGGGGAGAGAATTGTCTTTGTAGTCTAGGGGTTTAGAGGGAAGAAAGGAAGTAGCTGCCGTGAGTAGGGAGAATTAGGCTTACCCGTGTGGCTGGAGGGTTATGATTTGGGTCCTCTTTAAGTTTGCTTGGGAAGATGCAAGTCAGAGATTACAATATTTTTGAAAATCCCCTATGGCTATTTGGACTGTGCTTTTTTGCATGTGACCTCATGGGCCAACACCGACTGGCCTTCTGAACTCCCAGAGCTCCAGGAGAATCAGGAGAGAAATCTTAGCAGTAATTCATAACACATTTCTCAGTGATAAGTGTTGAGGGTCCCAGCGCAGAGATGGTCATTGTTCACGCTGGGCTGTTTGGTACTGAGGAAAATGGGGAGGAGGGAAAGAGATGAGAACGGTGTCTATGGTCTGGGTTTTCCACCAAATTCATGTGAAGTCCTAACCCTCGGTACCTCAGAATGTGCCTGTGTTTGGAGACAGGGCCTTGAAAAAGGAAATCAAGTTAACCGAGGCTATTTGGGTTGGCTTTAATTCAATCTGACTGTGTCCTTAGGAGAAGGGGAAGGCGGGACGCCAGCAGAAAGGTCATGGGAGGGCACAGTGAGAAGGAGACCCTCTTCCAGCCAAGGGGAGAGGCCTCAGGAGAAACCAAGCTTGCCCTTGCTCTTGGGCTTCCAGCCTCCAAAACTGTGAGAAAATAAGTTTCTGTTGTGTAAGCCCCGCAGTCTGTGGTATTTTGTTATGGCGGTCCCAGCAAGTTAATAACACCATGGCACCCATCTCCTTCTGGTACTGGAAATGTCAATGGCTCCCACTGACTATAAATATAGTGTAACTCTTTAGCCTGCCTGGCATTTAGTACTTCCGACTCTCGTGACTGTCTCCAGCCCACTTACCTCACTTCATCAGAACTTCTTGCTCTGCCCCCTGGGATCATCTCAACTCCTTTGCGATATTGTTTCCTTCCTATCTCTACGGGTGGAACTCTTACTGGGTCTTCAAGGCTCAGGTCAAAGACCACCATCTCTTTGACCTTCCTCATTCACTTTGCTTCTAGTACAATACTCACCCCTTATCCACGGGGGATACTTTCCAAGACCCCCAGTGGATGCCTGAAACCCTATAGATACCATGCTTCTCCTATACAAACAGACTGTGGTAAAGTTTAATTTAGGCACAGGGAGAGATGAAGAACAACGACTAATAATAATAAAATGGAGCAATTATAGCCGTATACTGTAATAAAAGTTATGTGAATGTGGTTTCTCGCTTTCTCTCTCAAAATACCTGATAGTACCGTATTCAACCTTCTTCTTGGGATGATGGGAGAGGATGAAATGCCTACACGATGAGCTGAAGTGAGGTGACAGGTGTAGGCACTTGGGACATAGCGTGAGGCTATTATTGACCTTCTGATGACTTGTCAGAAGGAAGATCTTCTGTCTCCCAACCACAGTTGACTGCAGGTAACTGAAAACTCAGAAACTGAAACCTTGGAAAGTGGGGGACTAATCTCCTTCTTAAGGTTAGGAGAACACATACCCTCTGGATGCAGATGACCTGGGTTTTGAATTCTAGCTCTGCTACTTATGAGCTGTGTGACGTTGGGCAAGTTACTTAATGTCTCTGAGCCTCATCCTCTCCCCTGTGCACGGGAATAACAGTAGTCCCGTTACACAGAAGTTGAGAAGAATAAGTAAAATAATGCCTGTAAAGCTCACTGTAAATGTCTAATGTGCACCATTTATTTTCTTATTACTCAAACCTTATTATTCTTAACATTTTCCAATAATTCTTATTCTTATTTAATTTTTCCTTATTTCTTAAAGCTTTCAAAATATATTACCTGTTTCATAATAAAACAACACTTGGGTGTTCTTATAAAAATTTTAATTTTGTTGAAAATTCTGATTATGGAAGCCACACATGCTCATTGTAAAAATGTCATTAAAGACAGAAAAACAAGAGGGAAAAAAATCATTTATAGTCCTGCTGTCCAGAATCTATTGTTAACACTTTGACGTATCACCTTCCATCTTTTTCCTATGTGTTAAATGCATGATTTGGAACAAGATCATATTCAACATATTTATGTAAAGTGCTTTTTTCATAAGGGTAGATATTTCTCCATATTAACAAATAGAGTCTGCATCAGAGGTCCACACTGGTGGCTTGTTCTGATCCAGCTCATGGGTATGTTCTGTTTAGTTTGCATAGTGTTAACAATTTTTTTCAGCCAGCTTAAAAAAAAATGGGGATATTTTACAGAAAAATCGCATTCTCCTGCTTTGGAAAATCTGAGGCTATAGCCACACTGGGCCCGCAGTCCAGAAAGCCGGTTACTGGCTAGAAGTGAGTACTGCTTTTATCTTGCTCTCCTGGCCCGTGTCCATCCCTCGTCTCCACTGCCATTTGTGATGGGCATGTAGCATTTCCTGGCTATTTGTGACCAGATCTATTCTCCTCAGCGAGAATCAGCAATTTGAGGGCAGGGTCTATTGTACTTTATCTTTTATCCTTGGGTCCTCAGCACCTCCCACTTACAAAGCTCTCAATAACTGCGATACCTAAATACTTGAATGGAGACACTCATTTGTGACATTTCGCATATTCTTATTACTCTTGGAGTGCATGGAGGATTCTGAACCCCGCCGGAGCCCTGGGCTGCTCCTGTCCCTCGAAAGTTCCCACAGCTGGACCCAAAGTGGGGCTCCCTCCACCCTGGTCACTTTGAGGAATCTGACGTCTTTCTTCCTGGAGGAGGAGTCTTAGAAGCTTTCAAGTAATCGGTTCACCTCCCACTAAAACGCAGCCAGATGCCAAGCAGAAGATGACAGCTCTTGAATAACACCATTAAGCCTTTCCAAAGATCTGACACTGGGAGAAAGCAAAGAAAGAGAAGTACGTCCCCAGCTACCCGTGGTGGCACTTGCTTTTTTGTCTCTCTCCCCTGTCTTCTAAGCCCTGCGATGCGGGGTGCCCTCTGCACGGTTCCCGGTGGGTGTTGGTGCTCAAATTAGAAGCTGGATTTCAGGGACCGCTGGAATGTTCTCTTGTTGCTCCTCCCTGAAGGCTGCACGTGAGGCCCCACCACAGGAAGTGAGCGGGCCCCTTTAATCCGACGCCAGAGCTTGGGCTTCTAAAACCTGATCCTCCAAAGTTTGGACTTATATAACTTATTTGTTTATTTTTAAGCCAGCCCCGTCCAAGTTGAGAACACTTAAGACTCCCTTTTGGAAAAAATTTGGAACCCAACATTATCATTAACTGAATCAGCAAGCAATGGTTCTGTAAAAATACCAAGCGGCACAGTTCTGAGGATTTTTATTGTCACGTTCCCAGCGGCATTACATTGTGCGGTGCTTTCTCCGAGAATGGTTCCTGGGATTTTCTCTCTCTCTGTTTCTATCTCTCTGTTTCTGTCTCTGTCTCTCTCTTACAAACCACGGCCCGAGTCTACAGGGGATTGGAACTCCCGGCTGTGAAGAAGCCCCCTTCATTTGACAAGGGACTAGGTAGTCCTTGCTCAATACTCGACCACAGTGTTTCTCCAACTAGTTCAGTTGGTGGGGCCTCTGGAAGACACGGGGCCCTTTGTAGGGCATGGCAAAAACAGAAAACATGATAAGACACATATCTTTGGGTCAAATATCGGATGCCACTTTATATTAGATTTTAGACATAAGGGAACAGGTGCCGAGGGTCTGATAAAAAAATGTATGTGAGGAAGATGTTCACTGCTATGTTACTTCTATTAGGGAAAAACCTTGGAAACACTCTCTATCTTTAGCAGCAGGAGAATAATTAAATAAATTATGCCATTTTCAATGTATCTGTTAATGGGTCATCAAAGTCATGAAGATTCTTTGAAGAGTTTTTAATGATGTGAGGGAAGTTATAATTTGTTAGGTTAGAAAAAGTGGAATACAAAGTCATAGATGAAGTATAAGGCCAATTATGTTTATTATATGGACAGAGATCCTTGGGAAATTCACCGCAATTTTAGGAGAGGTTCTCTCTCAGCATGAGGAGATTATGGGTAGTTTTTGTTTCTTTATACTTTTTAGCACTTTCAAATTTTCCCCACAATGAGAATTTATTGCTTTCATCATCAGATATTAAAATGATTATAAGGTAGCCAACTTTCCCGGTGGTGACAGATTTGGGTGCACATTTTCTTTCAATGCCATTTTCCTTGGCTCTTACTAGCTACCCTCCATCCTCGGGTGGCTTCTCCAGTGAGGGTCTGGAGGAAAAGACTGGGACTTAAGATGAGGAGGGTAAGATGTCCCCCTACGTACAGAGCCACAGTAATTTCCCTTGGGACCTGGAGGTTTGTGGGCATCTCTGAGCTGTATGTACTCCCAAAAGAGGCCTGTGTCCAGATTCATAGAGCTTCATAGATTTAAGAAGGAAACCAGGCAGAAGGTTTCTACTGATTGATCTTACGTACAAGTGAGAAAGAGTTCTAGGAGAATACCCCTTCCCTCTCTTTATCCCCACAGCCTCTGCTATCCTAAAACAACACCAACTGAAGTGCACATCGATATTTTCAAGTTCTGGTGAGGCGGCCTGGTTCAAGCAAGGTGACTAAGCTACACACACTGAGCTTTGAAGGTTGTCCAGCTGAAAGAGGACAGGTTTATTCCTTGGGCCAGCCAATTCCTTCAGCCCTGTGGGTTTCCTCCATGTGTTAAATGGATGTAACATGACTCGAATCTTCTTTTGGAGCTGTGTCCAATGACCTCATCTACCATTGCTTATACACATGGGGTGAAGTGCTCCCTGCAGGAGCTGAAGGGTCCTGTTGAAGGGGGACTAGAGCTGGGAGGGGGGGACAAGTGTTTCTTAGGAGTGTGTATAGGGAAGGAGCAGAGTCTTTTAGCTACCAAACGTGGTAATAATTCAATTCAATTACAGCCACACACTGTTTATTGAATGATTTTCTACATTTTGGACAAGGCACCCAAGAATCTCCCCATATTCCTTCGAGAATGTCTCACTTTCCTCCATCAGCATCCTATCTAGTCCTTTTGTTGAAGGCTCGGATCCCTGTTTGGTATTGTAGAAATATCATTGGTCCTGAAATCAGTGGGTCTGGGTCAAAAATGACATCTCTACCCTGTTGCCCGCAAGCACTGTGGTTTCTGGCCGGTCACTCAATCCCTCCAAACCTCATTTGCCCATCTTTAAAACAGGAATAATAATGCCAGCCTCATGAGGTTGTTCTTGAGTAGGGTTGTCGGATTTAGCAAATGAAAATATAGACACCCAGTTACATAGGAATGTCAGATAACAAATAACATCTCATCTAAGTATTTATTATGAGTACTTCAGACATACTGCTACTAAAAAGTTAGTTGTTGCTTCTCTGACGTTCCAATGGAACTGGGTGTCCTGTATTGTACCTGAAAATCCTATTCTTGAGGCTGAAATAAAAGGATTTATCTGAAACCTGCTGCCCCCAATCAGTGAGTACTCTTTCCTCTGTCCCTGCTCTCCCAGGGTGGGACCCACAAGGGGATTCATTGCTTCTCCCTTTCCTAGCTGGGGGAAAAAGACTGCTTGACCAGGTTGGTGGAGGGCAGGGGAGGATGCTCAGTTAGTGGAGGCCATATGCACAGGACGAGTGAGAGAGGAGAAGACGCATAGGCTGGTATGAAGCGACCGCTCTGCTTAACAGACATAGCATGCATAGTGTCCCTTGGTCTTGTGTGCCTTTAACACACTCCGCTCTGTTCAAGCCTGTCAGTGGAGGTGACATAGTTGGGCCAGGAGAAGCCTGGATGGGGATACTGACCCCAGGGAAACCCCGTCCAGGCATGACCATTCCATAAGCTTCAAAGGCTAACTGTTGTGATAGACAGAGGGACTTTCCTGGGGGTAATTTTTACAAAGAAGGGGTAGAGGTAACTGTGTGCCCCAGAGACCTTACTGCAACTTGGGGGAAACCCAGCGAATGAGTCGACACCCGCCTGTCCTCATCTCTTATGTCTCCTTCCCACTGCCTCCCCCAAACTCGAATCCCGTCGAGCTCGAGCTCCCCCAGCTTGTGGGGTGGACGCGGCAGGTGGCAGGTCCACTCTCTGGCCTTTGTGTGCATCACAAGCTGCTTGAGTACCCCCAGAACGTCAGGGTAGAATTTTCCTTTTCTGATCATCTGAATTCCAGGCGAAAAGCTCAGCTGTCGTAGGCTTCAGGGAATTTTTCCACCAGGATGGAAATTGGGGCCAAGAAAGCGCGGGCATGCAGAAGGCATTCTTTTCTGCTATTCAGACGCACTTTCCCTTTAGTTAGGGCATTAGAAAATGGTGCCTTTCCCCAGAGTCCTCGATGAGAGTTTTGAATTTCATTACAGGGAGAAAACACAGAAAGGGAGACCATCACTTGCTGCAGTTCCTAATCTGTGATGTTTTTTCCCCATATCCCTTTAAAATAAAAATCTTTTAATATGTTCTTTCATATATGTATTTGATATTAAGAAAACTAAAATGAATTCAAGCCCATGCCCAGTGCAAAAAAAAGGGGGGAAGAAAAAAAGAAAAGAAGAAGAAAAATTTAAAGTGAAACGTCTGTCTGCTGTCCTAGCCGTGATTTAAGTCTCCTGGTCAGCTTGGTACTTTTATTCTGAAAGACAAGATGTAACATCTGACTATTATTTCCTAAATAGCTTTCTTTTAGTTTTACTAAAAATTTCTAATTTTTTTTTATTCCTCTTAGGAAATGATATCTTTAAAATTTGGGTTCGATGGGTTCTATGTATTTCCCCCCCCAACATGTGAAGATAAATACATGCTATTAAAATGTGAGCATGCAAGGGGCGCCTGGGTGGCACAGTCAGTTAAGTGTCGGGGTTTCATCCCAGGTCGTGACCTCAGGGTCGTGAGATTGAGCCCCACACCGGGCTCTGTGCTCAGCATGGAGTCTGCTTGGAGATTCTCTCTCTCTCTGCCCTTCCCCACCTCTCCCAAATAAAATAAATCTTTAAAAAACAATGTAAACATGCTTGTCTGTGTATCCCTTAAAACGATCTTCCAGAAACCCAGCTCCACTTGGTGAAATTATTTGAAGCCAATTAATATCTGTCACCCAGTGAGTTGTAGCCAGATTTGGGTGAGATGTTTACTCCATCTTGGGCGCTGGGCTTTGCATGCGTTAGCTCATTTATCTTCTCTATGAAGAAGGTATTTTCACGGGCCCCATTTTACAGATAAAAAAACTGAGACCGAAAGAGGCAAATGTCATATGACTAGTAAGTGAAAGTCAGATTCAAACCAGAGCCGTCTGAGTTCAGGGTCCATGCAATCACCTCTCTCTCTTAACCTCTTCGAAAAAAACACAGATACTGATATTACTGCTTGCCAGGAAAAAGGCAGGCAACAGTCCTGTTGAAGAATGAGTTCATTCAGTACTAAACGGTGAGTACGTCCTTACAGTAACTTCTAATGCATTGCATGCAGCTCCCAACTTGCCGAGAGGTTGGATTCCGAAAGTTGATTTAAAAGCAATTCCCCGTCCCCCTCCTCTGTGCTCCAAGGCACTTTGTACACACCTCTCCTGTTATACTCAGCACGTTGCACTCAGCGCGTTGTCTCTTAGCTGCTTACACATCTCTCCCCCTCGGGGCTCCTGCTCAAGGGCACACACCTTGCCTTATATCTCCTTTGGTATTCCCAGCACCCAGCAAGGTGCCTAACCCAGGGAGACGTTGTATTACATTACAAGTCATTTGTTGGGAACTCAGCACACATTTCCCAAAAGAAACACAAGACAAATGGGAGTGGAAGCATTTTGTTTCCAGCCAGCCCACAAAAGTTTATTTAAACTTTCTTGTAGTCTACCAAGAGTACTAATAAGTAATTTGGAACCGTGGGTGGGACAAGAGATGGTAGGTGGGGAAAAAGATAGAACTCTTCCTCCCCCTTCTCCTGAGTCAGATCGAGATGAAATTTCACTTGGGTCAGAATTCATCTTTGACTCCCCCTAAACTGCTCTTTTTTTCTACCTCTCCTGTCCATGGGTGTCACTGCCTCCAGGCTGCCTACTCAATACCCAGCTGTGGTCTCTCGATCAGCTCTTCTGCTCTTTCCCCAAATAACCTACTTGCCTCCCTCCTTAGTCAAAATTCCTGTTTCCTGAGTGCAGCTGAGCTGAGTTGATTTTCAGCATAAAACAATGTGCTTGAGCAAATTCTTGCTAATGTGTGAATGATTGCCCAATGCTAGGCATATGACTGTTTGTACACAGTAGTTAAGATTATAGGATTTGGAGACAGACCTAGATTTGAATCTTGCTTCTACCTCTACGTTCTATGACTTAGCTAGGGTAATTTAATTTCTCTAAGCCTCAGTTCTCTCATCTGTAAAGTGGAAATAACCATGGTTATACAGGAAGCCAACACTTTTATGACATTTCTCAGTGTTAAAGCATACATTGGGCAGTTATAAGAACTTCTTCATTGACTCACTTTGTCTTCACAACCACCCCATGAGGTAGGCACTCTTATTATTAACCATTAAAGAGGGGAGGGGCTTTTTGAAAGAGATTTCTAATGGTAAATTATTTATTCCTGCCTTCTTCCAAAAAGGCTTGGAGGCAAAATCGTACATTGATAGAGTCTTCCGGATGGAAGAGGACAGTCATTCCCGGGAGGAGATTTTTCAGGGCAAAGAGAGTGGGGGCTGATGCCAGAGCGCCCGTGGCTGAAGATTCATCTGGAGAGTCCATTCCCTTATGCGATTCCTGTTTCCACAGCTTCTTGCCTTCTTCTGCCTCTGAATGTGCCGAATCTGCAAGCGGTCCAAGTTTTTTTTTTTTTTTTTTCTATCCCCTTTCTTTCTTTTTTAATTTTTTCACACAGCCCACGGCAGCTGCAAGGTGGTGGGGGCCAGGCGGATGGCAGCAGCTGTTTGTATGTATGGGACCTCTGTAGTCTTTCTTTGTGAGTCAGGGGCCGTCTGTATATATCACAAGCCACCACCTGGCAAGACATTTCGTTCCATCTAGGTTGTTTAAATGTTTCCTGGATGATATCATAAATGCAAAAGGAGGAGAGGAACTTCAAGATGTTAAGTTCCAGCCCCTCACTGCCCTCTGGCCCTACACGGAAACATTCGAGGGAGATTTTGTCCTGTAGCTTAGCAGGCAACCTAGCATTTGCTCTCCTAGTCCTTCCCATTTACCAGATGCAGAGATTTTAAAGCCATGGGGGAATGCAGTTGCACCGAAGTAACGGGGTAGTCACGGAAAACAGTGAGCAGAAGCCTAAGGTAAAGGCAGGGGGCAAGTTGGCCGCCGGAGATCCTCCCTGTGGGTGTCCTTGTGATTAAATATCTTCACTTCTCTGGCTTAAGCCAGATGGGTGGGTGCTTACCTCTGGTACATCCTGGGCTGAGGACCCTCTGATTCTCTGATAAACTCGGGACAGAAGGCTGTTCATCCTTTCTGATGTCAACCTACAGATGGACGGTCCACCATGACCCTTGTAAGCCTGTTCAAATGTTTCCTTATCCATAAAATTGAACAATTTCCCCTAGGCTAACTCAACATTTCTTATAATTTGAGGGGTTTTTGTTGTTGTTGCTACTAGGCCTTCTGAAAACATGGAGAGACTTCTACCCTATGTTCTTATTACAGTGATACAATTGTTACATATATAGTGACACATTGGTCACTTAAAGACTTTAGTAGCAATGGTATTCTTTTTATACGACATTTATATTTAAGAGCAACTTAACCTACACCATTTCATTTTAACCTTGAACTAGAAATAGGAGGGGAAATTATACTCATTTTTACATGAGAAAAAGAGATTCAGGATGAATAAACCTAAATACCTTTAATAATATCTCATCTTATGGTTACTAAGCGGAAGAGTCAGGACCCAAAACTTAGAGTCTGTTGACTCCAAGTCTAGTGCTCAGGCCAAGAGAATGCATATAAATTAGACCTAGCATCACCACCCAACATACCAACTCTCCCTGCTTGAGTTTCTGCAATGTCCTGCGTAGTTTACTAGGTGCTTTGCATATAACATCTCGAATCTTTGCAGCAACCATGCAAGGGAAATGTTATCATACTCAGTTTAGAGATGGAAAAAAAACAAAAACAAAGCTCAGACAGTTTAAGTATTAAGTAGTTGCCTAATGGCTAATGTGTGTTGAAAGCAAAATTCAAACCCAAGCTCATTCTTTTGACAGTGATGCCTTTCACTTAAATATGCATCACCTGAAATGAGACCCAATATAGTTTAATCTTTTGGACTTTTTTAAGGCCACATGAATTATTGTTCCATGAAAGTACAGTTAACAGAAAGTCCTACTGGGTTGAATTCCATTTAGCCAACTTGAACCTCACTTAGTTGCCCTTAATTTTCCTGCCGTGCATCCCTCTGCTTGTTGGACTGTCTTTTCTAGATTTTATTTTCCATTTTTTAAAAAATATTTGTTGTTGCCTTTTTTTCTAGGCCCTTCTTAAAATGTCTCTTTTTCTATTTTAAGAGATTGGTGTTTAATATGAGCACAGTCTTTTTAGAACTCTCATGATGGCCCGCCCGTAGAAGCACAGGATTTTAGCTTACCTCCTCTTTCCCAAATTCCAGATTCTGCATCCCAGGGCCATTTTACATTTCTTCGTAATCCACTTTCCTGCCAATTTTACCTAGCTAACCCTTGCCTACTTTTGTATCCTTGTAATTCATTGTCTATTCTTCAGCATTCTAACTTTATCTATAAAATCAGAATAATGTCCTGTCCTGTCCTGTCCACATCTCATCGTTCTAGTGATGCTCAGTCAAACCACGTATAGGGAAAGCCCTTGGAAAAGTATAAAGAATGATGAACACAGACGACTGTAGTATATTTTGCTTTAGAAAAACCTATGTTACGTAAATGGAGCTAAATAATCAGGATTGGGTAGTAAGGTGGAGATTTAGATGTTCTGGATTATTTATTTGTTATGATAGATATACTAATTTTATAAAATAACTTGTCACTAAATCGTTTTAGAAGAGAGAGTTTATGTGCATATTTTAAAGTAATGTGGTCTTCATACCGTGGACCAACATAGGTAAGGGTTGTTTAAATATAGCGTTGGTGCCCGCCCATGCTTCTGTGCTTCCCCCCCACACCTCCCTGGTTTCTTTGCCTACACATTCCTGCCTGTCATCCTACAAAACCCACACCTTCAGGTATTGTTATGGACTCTCTGTTAACCTTCTCTTGCAGATGTTCCCACATTTTCCAGTATAAGAACACATTTTAAAAGTGTTAACTCTTTCTCTGCAGGTCCATGGTGAGAATGAACTTCTGGTGTCCACTGACCCAGAAAATACTCAGTGAGAAAAGGACATTTCAAATTCAGTAAAACTTTTAAGTGGATTTGTTTTTAATTGATCACAACTGCATCCAAATGCTTTTGGAAAATACACAGACACATCTGAGACATTATTCTAAGTTTATAAACACTCAGTACCTATTTGTCAAATGAATGCATGAATAAGAAGAGAATAAAAATGTGCAGACACTGTGACATATGTGGATTTACAACCCTCTGTCATAACTCCATTCCCTAACTCCTGCCCCGGGGGGCCAGAGCTCAGAGTTTGGAAACCACTTGTATGGTTTCCCTAATACCTAGCATACAGTAGGCACTCAAGAATTGTGTACTGAATGTCCATAGGAATGAGTGGATGAGCACTACTTGTCTCTCAATTAGATTACAAGTCTGAGAATAGCAGCTATGTCATAGATGGTTCCCAGCAGAGCCCAACATTGTGCTGAAAGTAGTCTGCTTTCAATAAACCACTAACTTGATTAGCATCCCTTACTGACATTTCTGGAAGGGGTTATTAGAAAGGAAGGAGCTAAAATTTAAAATATCTAGAGGGAACATACCTGTTTTTGATTTCAGAAAACTCCTTGTGTTCCTCCGCAAGGGTAAGTAGGGGAAAGCATGGAGTCATGAAAGCAAGGGAAAGAGCCCAAGGAAGGATCAGTGCTGCTGGCCCTCAGGGAGGGAGAGCGTCTGGTTAGTGGGATAGAAACCTCACCCTTTGAAGCCTGCCTCAGGGTTCTGCTGAGTAATCTATGGCTTCACCAGAGAGCGGGGAATGTGACCAGAGTGCAGTTGGGTGGAGTGAGACGGCAGAAGGGATGGTTAGCTCATTACACCTTGAAGTGGAAGTGGCAAAGAGCAGTTGACTTACTCATAAATCATCAACTAGAGCATCTTCAATATTTTTATGGGCAACGTAACACAGAGATTCTGTTGGAGGAATCACTTACCTCAGCAATGCTGGGTAGAGCAGTCCAATCATCCTGAAGAGAAACTCTTAACACGGGTTCTTCTTGGAGGCTCCCGTGTCATGAAACACTGTGGAAAGAGATGGACACTTGCATCCTGAGTCTGGTGGCCACTTCACCTTGCAGCAAAGGAAGTGAAAGTGTCAAAATGAAGAGGAAGAAAGCCAACAACATTCTCTCTAGGGGGAAAAATGCAGACACAGGCTTTTTTTTTTTTTTTAGGGGTGGAGAGTTCAAAAGTGCTTTGATTATAGGCGCTATCTATAAAGACAAACAAGAAATAATCTTTCTTATTTCTTGTTTTTCCTCAGCTGCTCCTGAGATCGGAGGCCTGATTTTTATAGAAGAGCAGCCTGGAAAACATATTACCAAAGGAAGAAAAGGAGAGGAATGATGCTCCAGCTGCTTTAGGTTAATTTGATTTTTTTTTCATGTTTCATGGCTGCCTCGATGTTCCTGACCTCAGTTATTTCTGTTGAATGGAAATCGTTGAGTGAACTGGATTCCCCCAAGTCGAGACAGGGCTTTAATCGTAGTTTGGTCCAGATTCCCAGTTTTGTAGCTGTGAAAGCAAGGTACAGTGATGTAATGCACCGTATCACAGGTCCCTCTGACCCATGAGGTCACACTCTTCAGGGTTCAACACTCTCCAAGTTAACCTCTTGTACAGAGGTTCAACCCAGGCACAGCACACCTGTGACCTTCTTAATCTTCCTGTCCGTCCCTCTTCATCAAGATGCGTGGGACATTTCGGCTGGAGTGAGGGGTCTGGGTGGGATCTGCTGGCTTTGGAGGGTGGATTTGTTTCGAATGCAGTCAGGCTGGGCACCAGACAGTGTGGTGTCTGATAAAGAACGCATGTTCTGGAGCTTGACTGCCCCAGATGTCCTAGTCCTGCCACCTAATGATTATGTGACATTGTCACATACTTAACCTTTTTTTGGACTCAGTTTTTTCATCTGTAAAACAGGGATAATGGTACTTCTTTCCTGCGACTATTGTGAAGATTAAATAGATTAATATATGTGAAATGCCTAGAACCATCCCAGATAGATGAGAGACACTTGGCAAAGGCTATTATTATTATTTTTATTATGTATATTATGATTAAATCTTCTTCACCTATAGAAAAACAGCCATGTCACAGGATTGTGAACCTAAGTGACATTGAATGTATGATTAATTGAAGAAAAGGGATGAATGAATTAACTGTGTGCTCTTGGGTAAGACACCCCACTTCCTGACTCTTTCTAGTTCCTCTTAAGTAATGCCATGCAGTTCATGGACTGATTAGCCTTGCTGTAAGGTGACCAAGTATCCTGGTTCATCCCAGGCTTTGTGGTTTTAGCCCTGAAATTCCCATGTCCTGGGAAACCCTGGTATATGTAGACTGGGATAGTGGTTACCCTGGGCCTCTGTGACCCTTGCTATGTTCCAGGGCACACTAATGATCAATCTCTTGGGCTTTGGGATGCCCTGTCCTGTGTCCCCCACCCCACACTATATCATCTGGTGTTACCTCAGCTGGGATGGCTCATTTCTATTCTGTGGGATCTATTATCCTCCAGCAGATGAGCCCACACTTGATCACACAGGGATCATATAGTGATCATATCATGGTGGCAGTCTTCCTCAGGAGAGAGTGGATGGACATGGTACAAGGCCTCGCGAGGCCCAGAACGGGCACAGTGTCATTTCTGCCTCATTCTGTTGGTCAACACAAGCCACAAACCCCAACCAGATTAAAAAACTGGAGAAATAGGCTCTGTCTCCTGATAACGTGGACATAGATACAGGGAAGGTAGTAATTGCAGACACTTTTGTCAATTACCATAATCATCCAGAGCTTGTATTTGGTACTCCAATTGGTACAACATGGTGGCAGATCAGGACAAGGAAGAGAGAAGGAGGCCTCTTTCTCTTCAACAGACTCTGGAACACTGTTAGAGAGACAGGGGGCTCTGTCTAAACTGCCTCAGTTCTGGGAACAAAGGTCTGATTTGAAGGAGATGCATGTGAGGAAGAGGCTATGAATTGCTGTCAGCCTCAACCTAGATTTCCTCGAAGTTAGATGTGGTGGTGGTTGATTCGCCTGCACTCTCATTCCTTCTATCCTGGAAATCAGCATTGTTCCAGAGGACAGCTTCTCCATCAACTCCTTCCCAGAGAGCAGAGCAAACCCTCTCTTTCCATCCCTCCCCCACTATAGACATGCAGTACAGGTGAGAATAAACTTATGTTGTTTTAAGCCTCTGGAATTCAGGGTTGTTTGTCACTGCATCATTAACTATCCTATCCTGACTAATAAGGTAATGAAATGCCAGTCCTGAGGAACGTTGTGTAAAAAAGAATTTTGTTAGTGAATAAATTTGGGAATGATGAGAAACTGCCAATTTTCCTTTGATATTTGTTCTCCCTTTCTGCATTTTGGTGATAGAACTCTCTGAATTTTGGCCTGAGATTTGGGCACCAAACTAGAGACTGTATCTTTTAGCTTCCTTTGATCTGGTTGTGTCCACTTGGCTGAGTTTAGGCGAGTGGGAAGTAAGCACATGTGTTGTGTGTAACTTTCACATTATCTTCTTAAAGAGAAAACTTCTTGCTCCAGACTCCCTCTATTCTTGCTTCCCTTGCCTGAGAAATGGTAACCACTTGTACCATCTTAGAATTCATGTGTTGAGGATGGAAGAGCCACTTGGCCAACCTTGGTCCACTCATCTTTATACTGATATATTTTAGCCACTGTATTTTAGAGTATCTTTGTTATGGCAGCCTAAGGTGTACCCCAACTAATATCACACTGTATCTTCCCATTGGAGATCCATGGGGTTACTCTAAATTTTGAGTTAAGCTTTTGAGGTGTCCTACAATAAAGCAACTAGTTCAAATCTTATTTACTGAAGGAATCTCCCCAGCCCCCCCTTTTGGTAGAACATTTGTTGATATTCACTTATTGATATCACAGAGACAATTTCAAAATAAATTTGTTCTTTGGGAAGTGTTGGAATAAATTCATCTTGGTAACCAGGGAGAACTGTGGAGTTATCATTTCTAATGACTGTTAATAAGGTGCATGACACACCGTCCACCTCCAACCCCAACTCAGCTTCTATTGCTTTCTTCTTAGAAAAGCAGCCAGGTAGTGGGAAAAGCAGGAGTTTGGACAACAAGCCTGGACTTGAATTAAGACTCTGTGACCTTGGGCATCCTTTTCACTTCTCCAGGTCTGTTTCTTCACTTGTAAAATGAGAACACCAGTGCTTACCTCTCACAGGGTTGTTTGGATCCTGTATATAACAGTGCCTGGCCTGTAAGTGTCCTATTCACTATTCCTATCCTTTAAGCAAGTCTTAAAAGTCACAAGGAAAAGTATTAGCTCCCTTTTGGGCTTCTAAGTAGGATACCAAGGAAGAGAAGTGACTTACTTCCTCATCTTTCAAGGATCTGAATGGCCTTGGGCAAGTAGCAAAGACTCAGATCTGCTTGTGGGTTTTCCTGGTAAAGCCAAGGATTATACATTATAACTCAAGTTAATAACGAATAACTACTGACTTGGCAGAACTCTCTTTAGTTGCCAGGGCTGCAAATTAAGGAAAAAATCAGTCAAAAAACTGAGCCAGGAGGACTCTCATATTTGAGACTGCATGAGGGTAAGGCTGGTGCCTTCTCTTCACTCTTTCTTTTTCTGCAGAGATCAGCTGGTGTTCAGGACACAAGGAACATTTAAACATACTTACAGACTAACTTTTCCTCATATGCAGGGTCAAACTTTTTGAAGGGGACTTTTATTCATTAAGAATTTGGGGGGTACAGGCAACAGAAACCAACTCTAGCTATTTCAAGGAGAGATGGAATGTATCTGAAGGATACCAGGGAAGCTCATCAAAGGTAGACCAGGTCTTGAGAAGAGCAGAGCCAGGGTGACCCCAGAGATCTCAGCAACCACAGCTGGTGGTCCAGCTACCTAGAGTGCCAGCATGATGTAAGAGGGAATATGGTTGGTCCAATCTCAGACAGGGTTCACCTTTGACCAAGGCAGCAGGGCTGCCGGGAGTCCACACCTGCAATGTAGGAGATAGTACTAGAGAATGGGAATATCCTATGAATCCAGCAGCCCCCTAGAGCTGTGTGTTAAAGACTTTGTGCATCAGTTATCTTTTGTGCATAACATCTACTTGCTCATGATTCTGTGGGTCAGCAATTTGGGCTGGGCTCAGTGGGGTGGTTCATCTGTTGCTTTTGCTTGAGGTCATTCTTATGGCTGCAGCTACCTGGTAGCTCAGATGAGGCTAGATGGTCCAAAATGGTTTCACCTACATTTGGAAGTTGGTGTTTATTACCAACTGGGAAAGTCTGCTACTCCATGTGACTTCTCATCCTCTAATAGGCTAACCTGAGCTTCCTCATGTGGTGCTCTCAGGGAAAGGATAGGGAGGTTAGGAACAAAGGGCAAGAGCAGACAGGTCCACAGAATTTTTGGGGGGATGGGGAAATAAATTCCTAAGGGAACTACCATTCATCAAATATGTATTATATGTCAGGCCCTGCCCAAGGCACTTGTCAAAAAGAACCCATTTTCCACTCCAGTAGTCCAGTGAGGTAGGCATGCTTACTTATCCTATTTTACAGATGCAAAAGGGAAGCAACTTGCCTGAGTTCCCAAATCTGATAAATGGCAAAGTCAGAACTTGAACTTAGATCTGTTTCCTTCCAAAGTCTTTGTTGTTTCTGTTCCCCATGGTACTGTTGGCTCCATCCTCAGAGTGGAAGGTAGCTCTTGTATCTTCATTTGTCTAACAAGAGAGAAGGAGGGAACTCTGGGTCAGTCGCTGAGCAGGAGAAATGAACTGAGAAAAGAGGTAAGCAGGAATGGAGGAGTGTCAAGGAAGCTCCATATACTATTACCTCCTTGGCGCATGCACAAGGTATTCATTGGGTGATTGTTCATAAATTGGGGCAGCTTACCTTGTTCTCTTGACTTTGTAAGTGTATAACTACCACCTGACAGTCTGACAGTGGATGGCAAATTCATTCTGTTCTTTTCAATTTCTCAAGCCCTGTGTCCTCAAGAAGTGAACATGGATACAACATGGATTAGTGATTATGAGATTTGGATATGAATTCA